GTTTTCCACCACATCAAAACCACAGGCCCTCCGGTCGCCGAACGAGCCAGGCACCTCAACCCCGAAAAGTACAAGGCCGCCGAAGCCGAGTTTGACGAGCTTATCAAATAAGGCATCTGTCGGCGCTCCAAAAGTCCTTGGGCGAGTCCTATACACATGGTGCGAAAGAAAGAAGGAAAATAGCGTATTTGCGGTGATTACCGTCGGCTGAACGCTGTTACCCAGCCAGACAAATTCCCCATACCCCATTTTCACGACTATTCTGTGAATCTGCACGAAAAAAACGATTTTCTCAAAGCTCTATCTTCATAGAGCTTACTATCAGATTTCCGTCGCACCCACTGACGTTATAAAAACCGCAGTCACAACACCCTTCGGTTTATCTGACTATGTTTTTATGCCTTTTGGCCTCTGCAACGCCGCTCAATCATTCCAACGATACATCAGACAAGTGCTTCAAGGTCTGGATTTCGTTTTTAACTACCTTGACGATATTCTCGTCTCGTCCGTCGACGCAGAGAAGCATTTGCGTATCGTGCTGGAACGATTAGAGCTTGCAGGCTTGAAGCTCAACTTGACCAAGTGTGAATTTGGCAAAAGCGAACTCGTCTTTTTGTCACACCTTATCAACAGCGAAGGCTTGAGGCTCACTGCCGCAATGGTTCGTGTGATCGTCGACTTTCCAAAGCCCAAAACAATTTCTGCTCTTCGCTTATTTCTGAGCCTCACCAACTTTTACCGTCGTTATCTCCCGCACACGGCTACCGTTCCATCGATGTTTCCACTTTTCAAAAAAACAGTTCTGGAACTCACTTTTAGGGATAGCCTTAAGTACATTCGTCGCATTGTTTTCAACCGTTGTTTTGTCATCGAATCGGTGTCCTTTAAGTGGTCTTTTTAATTTTAGAAACAGCCAAAAGTCACAAGGGGCTATGTCGGGACTGTATGGAGGTTGTCGAAGCAATGCGATATTGTGTTTGCTCAAAAACTGCGGCACAAGATTGGATGAATGCGCTGGCACATTATCGTGATGGAGAAGCCAGTCACCACTTTCCCAAAAGTGCGGCCGTTTTCTTCTTACTGCATCACGCAAACGTTTCAAAATTTGAACGTAGTATTCTGTATTGATTGTCTGACCTGTTGGTGCATATTCGTGATGTACAACACCTTCACAAGCGAAAAAAACCATCAACATTGACTTAACATTGCTCCGACTTTGACGTGCTTTTTTTGGTCTTGGCGATTCAGAATGTTTCCACTGTGAAGATTGTTGTTTTGTTTCAGGATCACAACCATAAACCCATGATTCATCACCTGTAATAACTTTTCTAAGCACATTATCATCATTATTGACCATTTCCAGATTGTCCAGAACGATTTCTAAGCGAATATTCTTCTGCTCTGCTGTGAACAATTTTGGGATGCATTTCGCACACACGCGTTTCATTCCTAAATTTTCGGTTAAAATTTGTAAAATGATAGTTTTTGGTATCCGAAGGTCTTCTTCTAGTTCTCGCACAGTCATACAACGATCTTGTTCGATTACAAGTCGCACCCGCTCAATATTATCTGCGGTTTTGATCGTCGAAGGTCGGCCGAAACGAGAATCACTATCGACAGAAGTGCGACCATCCTTGAACCGTTTATACCACTCTTTTATTCGTGTTTTGCTGATACACTCGCTTCCGAAGGCCTTTTGCATCATTTCAATAGTTGCCGAACTCGTTTTTCCGAGTTGAAAGCAAAATTTGATGCAAATTCGTTGATCTTGTTTTTCAGTTATTTTTGACAATATCAAAACCCGACGAACGCGAAAAAGGCACTGTAAACAATGACACGCTGCGCATGAACTATACGTCCGGCAGGCGTCAGTAAGTAACCAATAGATTCGTGAGGCTTTACTGTTGACGTTCCTGTCCGGTAGAGGTCGCTCGAACACTATGGCGCGAAGATATAAACGTAGGCCCGATACTTTCCGGACAGACTTCGTATACACACAACGCGCACAAGAACGACCAAAGGCTCGTCGCTTGGACTCCGGAAGCTGAGCGAGCTTTTGATAAGTTCATGTCCGACTTTGCCAACGCTACGCTTCTGAGTCACCCTTCGGCTGACACGCCGATGCGCGTCGTAACGGATGCATTGGCCGAAGGCATGGGCGCAAGCTGCGAGCAGCTAATCGACGGTGTTTGGTGATCCATGGGATTCTTCTCCCATAAATTTAGCAAAGTTCAGCTAAATTACGATACTTACGATCGTGAACTGACTGCAGACTACGAGGCAGTCAAGTATTTCAAAGACTTCCTCGAAGGCAGAGACTTCAAAATTGTGACTGATCACAAACCGCTTGTATATGCATTCGTACAACGCTCTGATAAGGCATCGCCGCGTCGTCGACGCCAACTTGGCCTCATTTCAGAATTCACGACCTAAATCGAACACATCGAAGGCTCCAAAAACGTTGTCGCCGACTGCCTTTCTCGAGTCGACTCAGTTCGCCTGCCTCTCGAACTGAACATGCTCGAATTGGCGAAAGCTCAGAGCGAGGATCCTGAGCTCGAAGAGCTTCGCAAGTCTGCCGACAAGCACTCTCTCAAGCTCATTTTCCTCGAGTGAGGTCAAGACCACAACCGCGTTTGCTTTAACCAATCCGACACCGTTCTTCAACCCTACATCCCTAAATCCTTGTGTAGACGCGTGTTTGAACAATTTCACTCGCTCGCGCATGGCGGAGCAAAGGTCACTGACCAAGTCATCAGACAACGTTACATATGGCCCGGCATGCACAAAGACATTAAGCTTTAGTGCAAGACTTGTCTCGACTGCCAAGCTTCCAAAGTCTCTCGTCACGTCAAAAACAATCCCGCCCCTTTTGTCGCAACAGACGGTCGTTTCCAATACATCCACTTGGACTTCCTTGGGCTGCTCACACCATCAGAAGGCTACGTCTACTGCCTTACGATGATCGACCGATTCTCGCGTTGGACGGAAGCGATACCCATTCCTGACAAAACTGCACAGACAGTTAGTCGTGCGTTTTACGACAACTGGATGAGCAGATTTGGAGCTCCCGAGCGAGTCACCACAGATCAGGTTTCGGAGTTCGAGGCGCAGCTCAACAAGACACTCCTTTCGCTGATCGGCTGCCAGCGGATTCGTACGACAGCCTGGCACTCAAAAGCGAACGGCATGATAGAGCGTTGGCACCGCACCGTCAAAGCGGCTATCATGTGCCACCAAGACGAGAACTGGGTCCGTACACACTCAACCGTCCTTCTTGGGTTGCGTATCCACGTTCGTGAGGATACGGGCGCTTCTCCCGCCGAGTATTTGTACGGTACAGTGTTGCGCGTGCCTGGAGAATTCACCGCTGACCCGCAAATTTTCCTCGAGGAATTTCGCGAGCACATGTGCAAAATCAGACCAGTACCTGTCAATTACAAACACAATTACAAACCTCGTGCTTTTTATTTAAAAGACTTGTACACCAGCTCGCACGTTTTTCTGCGACTGCTGCAGTCAAGAAGCCACACGAACGCCCTTATACTGACCCTTACAAAGTCTTTAAACGTATCAACGATCTCGATTTCGAAATCGAAGTTAAGGAAGCTCCGAAAGTCGTTTCGACTGAGTTGCTGAAACCCGCAGCAATGCCTGCGTGCTTGCAGCAGCCAGCTATCGTCGCTGCAAAGCCCCTCGACAACGATACCAACATCACTCGTTCTCTCATTGTTCACGCGATTCTGACTGCAAAAACTCCGGTTCCGAAAGCTTTCGCTCCACAGCAGCCATCGACAACCACCTCCTCTCCTAACGCAACATCACCGCAAAAGCTTGTTACGAAACCCGACGCCCCGTGCAGCCAACCCGTGCAAGCACCTGCACCTCTGCAATCTGCGTTGAAAACTTATCCAGCTAGAAAAAACGTACGCAAGACAGTGACCATAAATTTCGCAGCGAATGAGATTTATCGCGTACCGAGGCACTAGTTCCGTTTATTTTGTACCTTTGTAAACTCTTCGTTCTTTTGTAAGCGCAGTTCTTCGTTTTTTTATAAGTTCATTTCAGTTTTTTTTTACGTACTAACCTTGTAAGTTTTCTGTATTTCAAACCTTGTAAAAAAGGAGCTTTCTCCTTCATGCGAAGCTTTTTAAGAGGGGGAGCGTGTAGAGATCTACACAGTCAACTATCGCTGAGTGGCGTGGCCTCGACGTCCAGCGCCGCGTCGCCATGGCGGCCGACTGACGCTGCCAGTAGTTCCGCTCTAACCGTCACTCCGGCCGGTTACCCCTTTATACATACCTGTACTCAATAAAGATATTTTCTACCAAATCAATTACTGGCTACATCACTTTCTCTTCGACTACCTCTAAAGTACCTCCTGGACGACGCTGGACGCTACATTGATGGCTACTCAGCGCCACCATTCGGTTCATTTGGTAGGTTCAGACATTCATACTCATAGGTTTGGTAATACATGTTTCCTTAAAATTCTATGAAATTTATGATAAAAGATCGAAAATAGATGTAAGTCGATTTGAAAATAACCTTTGACTGTTTCGGATTCTATTCATGTTATCTCATCTAAACTTAGATTATTCTTGCGTCTTTCAAATAAAAAATAACGGTTCCTGCTTGAAAAAAAACTTATTTCTATTATTATCGATTTTTGAAAATTAAGTTATCTTCACGTACACATTGGCATACTAATGCTATCATTGTGCTATAAAGCACAATGATGCCTCTGAAGGGCAATTCAAGTTACCCCTGCAATACATGCATAAAATTTTAAGTAGCGTCCTGATTATACAAGGGTTAAAAACACTGTGGAGCTTTGAGCCGTGCCTTGAAATACAGGATTTGCATCAAACTGCCGCTGAAATACTTTCGAATAGGCTTAAATTTTCATTTACCTAATATATATGTATATTATGGAATATTTCAGAGGACTATATTACTGCCGTGCAGGAAAAAAATTTGAATGGCATTGAAGATATCACAATCCAAGTGATATTTAAAATTAAAAAAAAAACTAGGAAAGGAAGGAACAAGAAAAATTTTTCAAATGAATATTTAGAGCCAGCCAAACGCTTAAATATTGAAAAAGTTCAGTATAACGATAACACAGATTATTCTGACGATCATGAATCCCAGGTGCTAGAAGATCCTCTATTTATATCTGATTTATCAAACTTACAAGGAAAATCAGCGTAACTCAACGTTTGTTCATCATCGAACCATTCGTCAACAGCTCACGGACCCAGCAAGTAAATAACTGGCACTGATAGTGACGACGCAGATACTATGGAAGATAGTGAAAATACAGTATCCTTAAAAAAAATGTACGGTAATTCAAACTTTCTTAATATTAATTTGTATCGGGATCAAAAAGTTCATATTGCTACGAGGGTGGTCCGATAAGTACTTAGGCTACAAAGGAAAAACGAAAATTTTGGAAAAGTGGCGATTTATTTTTCAATTTAGTCTCCTTTTAGTTCGATACACTTGACCCGACTCAGCGATGCTTCAACTTCTTTAACCCATGTGAAACATACGTTTTCTCACAGTACCTAAGCGCTCTTTGATTTTGTTGTGTGATTTCCCTTCCAAAAACAAGAATCGAATCACTGACCGATATTGCTCTTTTTCCATTTTTCTAATATCCGCGGACACGTCCGGTTCCACATGCGATCAAAACAAAACTACGAGTTCGATTCAGCTGAAATTTTGATAGTAGCCGTCTATATGAATGTACTACACAATGGTAAATTTCTCTTACGATAGTAGCGTTATCGGGCGTTGAGGCTAAGTACTTATCCGACCACCCTCGTACTTAAATTTAAGGGCCTTCTCGTACTACCATCTGATTCATTTGTTTGTTTCTAATTACATCAAAGATGACAGTCGTGATTTACTGGACAAAAATATTCAATATGAGATTTTAATTTTAGAAAAATAAGATTCTATTTTTATTGTTAAAGTTTTGAAAAAAAAGTCACTTTTGTAACAGACAGTATGTAAAGTACCTGCCCTTATTCGTTCCTATATTTGAAAAAAGCGATAACTTTTCATTGGGAATGAGTTTTTAACTTGTAAAAGTTCATTTCAAAGTTCTTACAATACCTGTTAATAAAGAAAAAATTATTTTTTATTGGATTAAAAAACTAATAGCTCGAATATTGGTGCTTAATTTAATTTTGTCAGTATTTTCACTGGTTTTCAAGTCACCCTATGAGTTCAATAAAATGATATAAGCAAGTTGATTATCATAAGCAAACCAAAAAGTTATAAATCATTAATTGTAATGTAATCAAAGTACTTATGAATCAAAGTTTAAGCTAAAGTTAAAGTTTTAAAAGTGACAACATTACATGTAATTGACTAAAAAAAGTAATCAGGTCAACCTTTGGTCTAATTAACCTTTAAAAAAAACATTTGAAACTGGATTTTTGAAAGTATTTTCAACGGTGAATCAGATGGTGTATGAAAAATTTTGTCCCGGGGTAATTAAGATAACTTGAATTAATAATACTTCTCGAAAATGTATACGTATGAATTTTCGTAAAACATTCTGTACAAAATGAAAAATCAAAACTTTTCTTTGAATAATTAATCTACAACCATTATAAATCGTGTTTTTAATTTGAAGTTTGAGATTATGTATATACAGAACATTGTTTTGACAAGGCTGAAACTTTTGAAATTATCTTCGTAAATATTTATAGGAATATTTTCTTATTGCAACGACAATTTTGACGAATAAATAAACTGATTACTTATATAAGTTTTATACAACGATAATGAGACTCAATTCTAATAATTATAAAATATTTTATAATTTTGTGTTTATTTTCCATTCATCCTGTATACTTTATTCGTTCGGTACTAAACGACTGATGTAAGAAATGAACAATTTAAAAAAAAAATTTTTATTGATTTTGTTTAGATATTCAAAAACTTATCCTTAGGAAAGGAATTTATATAGCAAAGAAGCAAGAATATAGTGATAAATATTTAAGAAGACAAAAGAGACAGATATCTTCAAAACCTGATTTTATTTCACAAGATAAATTGAAATTATTAAATGAGTATTTGCCAATAGATACTAATGAAAACAATGAAAAAAGAAAGTAGATATTGTAGAATCAGAATTACTAAATCAGAAATTTGCAAAGATTGTGGTGAGTATTTCGTCGTAAATTACATTTTTATTTACATATCGTATTTTAAAAAGTAAAATAATAAGATACTTGGTACTTTAGTTCCCCATATCCAAGTAATACTAATGTATATTGTTTTTCTTTTTATTTTAACTTTAATATACACTGCCCGTCAATCACTTTTGCCATGCTTACTTCAAAATTAGGCAAACTTGAAAGTTTTGTATCTCGGTCGGAAATCATCGTATCACAAAAAACATCAGGGCATTTTAAAGGTAATTGCAAAAGCTTCCATTTAAGACGTGCAGAGACTTAAAAATGAAAATATGTGTTTTTACAGTAAAAAACTGATTAAAAAAATTTCAATTTTTTTAACCTCGACTTAAATTAATGCCAATTTAGAACCAGGAGGTGGAGGGAAAATCGACCTGAGGGGTTCGGAGAGTAATGTCTTTCTCTTTAAAATTAGCCCCCGCGGAGTTCTATCCGACGTTTTTTAACCGAGTTACGGCATTTTTTGTAAAAAAATAACCTTTTTTTTCAATCCTCAATTACTTCGACTTGCGTACGTTTTAGAAAAAAATGCCAAGGAGAAAAAAGTTTCATTTTGTGCCCAAGAATACGAAAATAAAGTTAAAATAAAGAAATAGAGAAAAAATTTTTTTTCGATTTTTTAGCGTATTAAAAAAATAAAGGAATTTAACTTTTTTTTTACGCTTAGTTTTAGTTTTTTTGTGATTTACTACGTCCCTAGACATTTTAAAACGAAGCGTAAAAAAAAAGTTAAATTCCTTTATTTTTTTAATGCGCTAAAAACCCGAAAAAAAATTTTTTCTCTATTTCTTTATTTTGACTTTATTTTCGTATTCTTGGGCATAAAATGAAACTTTTTTCTCCTTGGCATTTTTTTCCAAAACGTACGCAAGTCGAAGTTATTGAGGATTGAAAAAAAAGGTTATTTTTTTACAAAAAACGCCGTAACTCGGTTAAAAAACATCAGATAGAACCCCGCGGGGGCTAATTTTAAAGGGAAAGACATTATCCTCCGAACTCCTCCGGTCGATTTGCCTTCCACCGCCTAGTTCTAAATTGGCATTGATTTAAGTCGAGGTTAAAAAAATTGAAATTTTTTTAATCAGTTTTTTACTGTAAAAACACATATTTTCATTTTTAAGTCTCTGCACGTCTTAAATGGAAGCTTTTGCAATTACCTTTAAAATGCCCTGATGTTTTTTGTGATACGATGATTTCCGACCGAGATACAAAACTTTCAAGTTTGCCTAATTTTGAAGTAAGCATGGCAAAAGTGATTGACGGGCAGTGTATATTTCAAAGTTATTTTCCCTCAATCTTATATGTTCGTGTATAACAAAGCGACTAGAAGTACCAAGTAGATTCTGATCTATTCCTACCGTATTCTGCATATTCCTACCGTATATCTCACGATACGTAAAAATAATAATATTGATAACGATAATAGTATTAAAACTTTAATCATTTATAATACTGCAGCACATGTCACAGGAGTTTTGGAATAAAATGCTGCATATTGAGGAAAGAATGTTGTGTAACGTAAGTTGTTAAATATAGATTGTAGTGTTATAAATTTCATTCACTATAACATTGCATATTTTCATTATTAATTTATCAAAATTTTATCAAAATCTTTTTTTTTTCAAGTCATGTTTTATAACACTATAACCATACATCGACAACTTTTCCATGTTTCTTAGACTACTACAATATTATAAGATCCCTATCACTAAACCTGAAATAATTACATCTTTATAAGAAGAAATTAAACTATTCTTGACTAGATAACTCTAACTTTTACGCAACTAATTAAACAACAGCGATTAGATAAAGAATTTTCTTAAATATATGCATACGTCTTTTGTTCTTCATATTAGATCGATGACGACGATCCGACATATAACAATATAAAATATCATTCGAGAAACTTGTATAAAACTCAATTTTTCACCTATGTTATTGAAATTAATCAGTGATGTATCAACCATGTAAAGAATTTCATGCTTTAGGACATGCTTTCTCATCATATCTCCTAACCTATTTATTATATATACTATATTTTTATATTAATTAAATTAATTAGATACTGTATTGGTATTCGCAATGGTTTTGGTAAATGGCACACACACACACACACACACACACACACATATATATATATATATATATATATTCTACTTTTTTTTATTTAAATGTAAACAATGGGTTAAAAACGATTTATAATGTACGATTTGATCCATTTGAGATTAAAAGCAATTGCATACAAGTTTGTTATTTATTGTCTTGTAAAGTTAAAAGAATTTTATTTCTTTTGAAATACCTTTAATTTGTAATTTGAGATATACAATTGTTAATTAGTTAAGGAGGCTCCAACACCATGGCGATTCTGAACTGGTTTTCAACCTCGTATAACAAAATGGAAAAAACCTAGAAACGCGACAACGTATTTCCGATGTATTTTGATGCGCTGAATCCTAATCTGGCCTCAGAATTTATCCATCACCTTATGTCTTAATATCTATCAGGAAAAATTTGAGAATTATTTTAGTCAAAGCGCCTCACCGCGCCATTGATTCTAGGATGCTTTTAGTAACATTTCCGTTAATAACTTTAAGAAACCTATACTTTTCGACTTACCATTTGAAAGCCTGATGTTCTTTTACAAAATATTTATCTTCTGCCAAGCAATTTCTCGGTTGAATATTTTTAAACAAACAATTTCTAAAAAAATTTCACTTCGGTCCATCAGAGCTTATGTATAAACTATGAAAATATGCAAAGTTTGAGATGAAATATCTTAAAATTTCCCACGGCCACCTGGGTAAATAATGATACCATTGGATTCAGCCCGTTTTGATCTATAAATATAGCTATACCTAATTTCTGAATTTTTTCTGACCTTCTCTCGTTGGAGCCCCCTTAAAAACTGACTTAAGATATTTCAATATTTTTTATACAGACTATCGCGAGCAAGGATTAATTAGCTAACAGCAGTTAATTGATAATGACTAGCAATCTTTATGGCAATGATGAGTAGAACCCTACTTTGATTATACAGGGTGTCAATTAAGTCCCGGGACGGCTGAAAATTTTCTAAAATACGTTATTTCTGAAAAAGGTCAAGGTCAATCCTTTAATAACTATAAACAAAAAAATAGTCAATAAAATAGTTGACCTTCAAATAACCTTGAAGGTCAAGTCCAACGTTAAATTCATGGTCCATTGGATTCCTTGTTCAAAGTTACTGAAGGATTGACCTTGACATTTTTCAGAAATAACGTATTTTAGAAAATTTTCTGCCGTCCCGGGACTTAATTGACACCCTGTATTACATTTCGACACATTATTATTTGAAGGTTTGTGTGTGTGTGTATGTGTGTATCTGCATATATTTAAAGGTTTTTTGGTTCTAGTTATAACATACGAATATAATAATATGATTTTGTTCAATGCAACATTGAATGGCTTGATTTACCATCATTATGGTTTTCATGCGTTTACAGATTTCTTTGTTTAATTGAATAGTAATACGGTAGCTGACTTGTTGTAAATAATTTCAATTTATGTAACCTCATAAAGATAAAAATATATTAATTGCAATTTTGTTGTGTTTTGTTAAACATAATTTCAGATATGGCATCTTCAAGGAGCTGGTGGCAATAATGTTCATGATTTAATATATAACATGGTACCAAAGATAATAACAGATGAGGTCTTACAAAGTTATAGTTTCTTTGGGAGAAAATCGAAGGGACAAGATAAAAATAAATGTTTTTCTGAACTCACTATCTGCAAGTGCATTTACAGTAAGTTTTAAGCACACACACACACACACACACACACACACACACACACACACACACGGGCGCGCGCACACACACACCATAATTAAAACTAATAGTTTCATTATAATTTTTAGTGGCTTCCAAATTGTCATTCCCTAAGGCTACAGATAATGAAATAAAAAAATTGCTATGCAATTTTTTTATTTTTATTTTTATTTTTTTGGATCAAGCCAGCACTAGGTTTAAACGTAGTCAGTGAGTATTAGAAGATAAAATAATTATACGTGTGTATTAATTATACAAATAGTTTCACAAAATTATTGTAGAAATCATTCTAGCCGGAAATCTGAACCATTTGTACCTTTACAATTAGATGGAACAGGTGATGAATTTGATAACTAATGATAAGAGGATAAGATATTATGTAGTGAACAATTGTTTTGCCAAGTGCCATAATAATATTTATTTTTATAGTGTAAAATATTCATATGTATACACTTTTGTACACCTTTATGTGAGTTAAAAATCTTTAACAAAAAAATCATATGTATTATGCACAATATAATTTTCATTTATATGTATATTGTAACGGGGTATGTACCGTTTAATTATATTTTTATCCGCGCAACTTTATTGAAAGGCGAATGTAATCATCTATGCTCAATATACAATCCGGAGAGCATGGCGTCAGTCAACCAGTAAATCTACTAACCTACAAGAAAGTGAGTGGAAGCAATATGAAATGAGCGAGTCGAAAGCACTTGTTAATGTCACGAATGGAATCTTTTATTACCTATCAAATGCTACATAAGATCGGCCCGCGTGTTTGTTTACATCGACGCTCGCACGACGACAACATGCAGTGTCGGAACGCTCGCTGCTCTTTGTTGGAAGAGCTATTACATGCACGCTTGAGATGTCGGAAAAATTAATTGTTATTCGGGCTATTGCATCGCGACCGCGAATATAAGCTGGCCAGCTTACCTTAATATCACAGGCGTACGAAGATGACACTGACGAGTCGCACAGCGAGAAGATTGTCTTATTGTTTGTGTCGCGGATCGCGAGTTCGCGCACACGTGGTTTCGCCCTCGATGGCGAAACCTCACACACACTCTCTCTCGATCTCTTCGCGGGCGACGCTTTTCCGTCGGCTCGGGTCTCTCCCCTTGGCGGTTGAATGGCACCTTGGCAACAACGATCACTGCTAGCTGGCACTGATCTGGGCGTTCTTCTCTCAATATTTGGTCTTAACGGCACACGGATCGACAATAGCGAAAAGAAAAGCGGGCGAACGTGATGATGGTCAGTGCTTCACTGGTTCGATTTCAATCGCGCGCGTTCCGTCTGCTCGCGTGCCGAATTCCTTCGTTACGTTTTTCGTCTCCCCGGTAGGTGCTGCCCTCGCAGGCAGCAATTAGGTTATATTATTGGCGCTAATTTGACGTTTACCGTCACAATATATATGTAAATATATGTACTGCACACACACACACACACACACACACATATATATATATATATATATTTGTGCAAGAAAAATTCACAGAAATATTGTGGGAAAAATGATGAAACGTTTCTTGAAATGTTTTAGTAGGATTGCAAGAAACCTTTCAGAAATATTTCGAGAAAAGCTGCTACGATGTTTCTAGAAATATTTTAGAAAGATTGCATGGAAACCTTGCAGAAATATTTCGAGAAAAGTTGCTGCAAGGTTTCTAAAAATGTTTTAGTAGTATTGCATAGAAACATTTCAGAAATATTTCGAGAAAAGTTGCTGCAATGTTTCTAAATATATTTTAGAAAGATTGTATGAAAACCTTGCAGAAATATTGCTATGTCCGTGCCGATAAATACGCAAAAATATTTCAAGAAATGTTGCTGCAAGGTTTCTAGATATATTTTAGAAAGATTGCAAGAATCTTTTTAGAAATATTTCGAGAAAAGCTGCTACAATGTTTCTAGAAATATTTTAGAAAGATTGCATGGAAACCTTGCAGAAATATTTCGAGGAAAGTTGCTGCAACCTTTGCTGCAACATTACTGCAGTTTTAATTGCGCGGACATAGCAATATTTCAGAAATATTTCAATGAAAGTTTGCAGAAATGTTTCAAACCTTTCATGAAAAATTGCAGCAATATTGCAGCAATATTTCATACTCTGTGGGATACTACTCCTGGATTAACATGGGATGCTATCGTATGTTAATGTGTACAAATATTGAGCTAGAACTTTTAACTAATATAGATATGGTTTTATTCGTTCAAAAAGGTATTCGAGGAGGTATTAGTCAATGTTGTAATAAATATTCAAAAGCTAATAATCGATATATGGGCTCAGAATACAATGAAAAAGAACCAAGCAACAATTTCATGTACTTTGATGTTAACAATTTGTATGGATGGGCGATGGCGCAATCATTACCGTATAAAAATTATAAGTGGGTCTCTAACATTGATGAGCCTAATTTTTTCGATGTTTCCGATAAACAACACTGTATAATAAATAATGGTATATCATTCACTATAGAGCGCTAAAGCAGGCTATTAAATACGGAATCAAATTAAAACAATTACACAGACCACTACGGTTTAATCAAAAGCTGTGGCTTAAAACTTATGTAGAAGAAAACGAGCTGAAAATGAGTTTGAAAAATTATTCTATAAACTCATGGTTAATGCAGTATACGGAAAGACTATCGAGGATAAAAGGAAGCGAAAAGACGTTAAATTAATTAGTGCATGGGGTGGTAGATATGGAGCAGAAGCATGGATCGCCCAACCCAACTTTCATAGTAGTTCCATCTTTGATAAAAATTTAGTAGCAATACAGTTATCATGGACTTCTATTAGTATTATAAAAACCAATATATATTGGGCTTTGTGTGCTCGATCTTTCAAAAACATTAGTATATGCCTTCCACTATGGCTACATAAAAGAAAGATTAGCTCAGAAAACAAAATTACTTTTACTGATACAGATAGCCTCGTGTATGAATTTCAAGATGTTGATATATATGAAATAATGAAAGAAGATATCAATAATTTTGATACATCAGATCACACAGAAAATAATCAGTTTAATATGCCATTAATTAATTAATTAAAAAGTTCTCGGCATTGTGAAAAAGGAATGCAATGGTAATATTATGAGAGAATTCATTGGTCTTCGAAGTAAAATGTATAGTATACTAATAGGAAACCATCAACCAATAAAGAAAGCAAAAGGCATGAAAACATACTGTCACAAAAACAATAGATCATGAAGATTAATTATCGATACCGTTTATTGGAATTAGAAATTATTATGCGTGAGCAATGCAATATACGAAGTGTATTACATCAAGTAAGAACGGAAAGAACGCAGAAAGTAGCACTAAGTCCATATGATAATAAACGATGTATATTCGATAAAAATCCTGATACACTTCCATGGGATCATTACAAAACTATTGAAACGTTAAAGCTTCAAATCAGCAATGCGGAAAGACGAAGGAAGAGGAAGATCATAGAAATAGAAGAAAATCCTTAAGATACTTTTACAACAAGTTGTAGAGATGACTGTAGAAAGCAATACCAAAAAAGTTGTAAGTTTCCTCCAACCTCCGATAGAAGTCGCTCAGGATAGAGTAGTAACAGTGGGGAGAAAGAAGGGTTAGTTAGGAAAAGACTAAGGATAGAATAGTGACAGAGTGGGGGACAACGATAGAGTGGGGGACAACGGTAGACATGGCGACTGAATTTGCAATGGAATCATATGAGAAATTACTTAAGTCTGGATAAGGCGAAGAGAGAGGTAAATGACGGCGGCTCGAGTTCTCAGAGAGGGGATACTTGGTAAAAAAAGAAGAACACACCTCAGTCCATCGTAGTTATTCAGTAGCAGCTTGAAGCAACAGCAGTAGTCTCTTCCAAGTTCTTCTCTTCCAGTTCTAGATTTTCTATTAAAAAAAAGTTTCTTATATAGCTCTCCAACTATATCCTAGTAGTATCAAACAGTTTATATTCAATTAATGACTGATTTGTTTTTTTTTATTGTAGAATGAATTTTTCTTCAATCAATAAAATCGCAAAATCAGCTTTCTTACCAAGAAAGACTATGACGCAGTTGAAAAAATACTGTACCTATATGGTTACTAAATTAAGATGGTTAAACACTCGCTATGGATTTAATATATTAATAACAGTATATGACGAATTTGAGGTATTTCTACCGAAGCGAGTAAGCTTAGCGTTACAAAAAGATGAAGAGATGTTACAGAAATTGTACGAGACCACGGAGAAAAAAGAATTATTTCTATATAATCGAGAAGGTTCGAATTTCGAATTTAAAAATTAAATTACTATAATGTGTAAGTGTGTATAGAAAATAATTTTATATTTAAAATTTTAATCACGTCTTTAATCCTAATTTAATTGTTTCTTCGAATCCTTTTTTTGGAGAGGTTGAAGTAATTACTTATGTGTTATTTCCGCTGAGTTTCGACTTAGTGTAAAGGTTTCATAAGCAATTTTAGTAGTGGAAGTACCTCACAGTTGAGAGCGATGGTTGGAACTTTCACTATTCCCTAACGAAAAAAAAAATAAATAAGAAAGAGAGAAGGGAGCGATTTCGGCGGCTCGAAAAGCGTAGTAGTGGGGTGATATTCTCAAATAGAGATAAGACGTTAATAGGAAGCCCATTCTGTTCGAAGCAATGGTAAGAAGAAGTAATAGAAGCTTAGCCATGCCAGCTATAAGAGACAACAGGAGATCTCGCTCCTCTTCTAAGCATATATGGTTTTCGAAGAAAGTTAAAATATATCATCATCCATACGAAGAAAAAGACTGTAGAAAAGGTATTTGAGAGCAGATAGCACGAGATCACGAACGTTTCCAAAGATGTATTGCTGAATTGAATAAAGTTATATCACGAGTATTATTCAAGAAACGTATATTGATGATGAATCGAATTCTTGGTTCTACATTAGAAAATCATCACACTATATATGTTAAATAAAATGGAAATCTAATTTAAAGTAGAGGGAGGCGGTTGTGGCGGCTCGAAAACCAAAGTGGTGGTGAGAAATTTTAAAAGAGTTGTGAGCCTCGAAGAGCTTCATTCTGTCTCAAGAATCGAGTAGTAGCGATTATAGCAGTAGCAGCAGCAACAGCAGCACCAGCAGCAGCAACAGTGATAGCAGTAGTCGTAGAAGTAGTAGTAGTAGTGGAAGTAGTAGTAGCAGTAGAAGAAGACGTAACATTCTA